ATTTTTAAGGCAGTTATGTGGCTTCTAATAAAGGTCACCGAAGGGTTTAGCTTACATAATTAACATTTTGTTAGCTGAAAGAGGCATTCCTTTGCAACCCCACCTTGTTTATTACCCTGTCCACCTCATTTTAAGTTAGACTGTGGACTCGATTTAAAATGCAGTATAATGATACTGGAAAAGGGCTTTGAAACTAAAATGTAAAATGGAAAGCTGTGAAAAAAGGAAAAGACAGTCTACAAGAGAAAATTCACAGGACAAAGTCGCCGATAAAGGCCAAGACAGGCAGTACATTGGTCATACCAGGGGTATCTCTTTCCAAACTGCAGCTCCAGAGCATGGTAGATCTTATTGTGAGTGTCTGCATCTCTGACATGTAGAACATTTTCACCTGGTAGAGCGGAAAATGTCAGAAATACAGTTGTTAAAATAAACAACCTGTGGCAGATTTCATTCAACAGAATGATTATTTTGGATTGCTACTACAGTGGGTACGGAAAGTATTCAGACCCCCTTAAATTTTTCACTCTTTGTTATATTGCAGCCATATGCTAAAATCATTTAAGCTCATTTTTTTCCTCATTAATGTACACACAGCACCCCATATTGACAGAAAAACACTGAATTTTTGACATTTTTGCCTGAAGAGCTCAGAGACAGAATTGTGGCAAGGCACAGATCTGGCCAAGGTTACACAAAAATTTCTGCTGCACTTAAGGTTCCTAAGAGCACAGTGGCCTCTATAATCCTTAAATGGAAGACGTTTGGGATGACCAGCACCCTTCCTAGAGCTGGCCGTCCGGCCAAACTGAGCTATCGGGGGAGAAGAGCCTTGGTGAGAGAGGTACAGAAGAACCCAAAGATGACTGTGGCTGAGCTCCAGAGATGCAGTCGGGAGATGGGAGAAAGTTGTAGAAAGTCAACCATCACTGCAGCCCTCCACCAGTCGGGGGCTTTATGGCAGAGTGGCCCGACGGGAGCCTCTCCTCAGTGCAAGACACATGAAAGTCCGCATGGAGTTTGCTAAAAAACACCTGAAGGACTCCAAGATGGTGAGAAATAAGATTCTCTGGTCTGATGAGACCAAGATAGAACTTTTTGGCCTTAATTCTATGTGGTATGTGTGGAGAAAACCAGGCACTGCTCATCACCTGTCCAATACAGTCCCGACAGTGAAGCATGGTGGTGGCAGCAGCATGCTATGGGGGTGTTTTTCAGTTGCAGGGACAGGACGACTGGTTGCAATGGAGGGAAGGATGAATGCGGCCAAGTACAGGGATATCCTGGACGAAAACCTTCTCCCGAGTGCTCAGGACCTCAGACTGGGCCGAAGGTTCACCTTCCAACAAGACAATGACCCTAAGCACGCAGCTAAAATAACGAAGGAGTGGCTTCACAACAACTCTGACTGTTCTTGAATGGCCCAGCCAGAGCCCTGACTTAAACCCAATTGAGCATCTCTGGAGAGACCTGAAAATGGCTGTCCACCAACGTTTACCATCCAACCTTACAGAACTGGAGAGGATCTGCAAGGAGGAATGGCAGAGGATCCCCAAATGCAGGTGTGAAAACTTGTTGCATCATTCCCAAAAAGACTCATGGCTGTATTAGCTCAAAAGGGTGCTTCTACTAAATACTGAGCAAAGGGTCTGAATACTTATGACCATGTGATATTTCAGTTTTTCTTTTTTAATAAATCTGCAAAAATGTCAAAAATTCAGTGTTTTTCTGTCAATATGGGGTGCTGTGTGTACATTAATGAGGAAAAAAATGAACTTAGATGATTTTAGCATATGGCTGCAATATAACAAAGAGTGAAAAATTTAAGGGGGTCTGAATACTTTCCGTACCCACTGTATGTGGAAACTAATCTTGACACCTCAGCAGTATCTTTGTCTTTTCATTGCCACAAACCTCTAATAATCATCAAAATACCTTGTGTCGGATAATGAAATCATAAGCAGGTTAACAGTAATCTTGTTTTTCCTCCTCACCTGTCTCTCTGCCTATTTGCCTTGTTCCAAGGTTAATGACGGGGGTGCCGAAGGCCCCAGCCTCTCGCACTCCACAGCTGCTGTTTCCAATCATGCAGCCAGCATGGGAGACCATCTGGATGAACTGTTCAAAGGGAATGTGCTTCACCGCTCGGAAGTTGGGGTGCTGCTCGATGCCCTTCCTACGCATCACACGCACCATCTCCTTACTTCCTGTTGACATTGGAAATTTGAAAGTTCTCAGTAACCCCAGCTCTACTTTGACAAAACACTCATACAGAAGAAGACAAAGCCTGGAGAAACAAGGAAGAGGAACCAGTGGGTGAAACTAACCAGCATCAATGTTGGGAAAGAGGATGAGGGTCTTTTTGTTGAAGGAGAGCAGCGCATCCAGCATTAGTGCATAGATCTTAATGGAGTGCTGGATGTCTGTAGTGACTGGGTGCTGCAAAGCCACAATATAATCGTGATCCTGCACCTCAGCGCCTGCAACATGAATACAAAACCCCACACATCACACAGAGACATACACTAATGTGTCACACTGTGTGTGAATGAATCCCTACCTACCCAGCCAGCTTCTAATAATGTCCATGTAGTCGTCTTTGTGATTACTTGACAGCAGTTTATCATATGAAGGGCAGCCAGCCAGCAAGATGCGGGAGTGGTCCTCACACATTGCAATGAGGTGCTGCTCTGCCCTGCGTGTGCAGCAGGCGTGGAAATGAGCCAGTTTGCTGATGGCGTGACGGATTGAGTCATCAATCGTACCACTCACCTGGAAAAAGAGCAAGAAAAGAGAATATTAATTTGTCATTTAGTAGCATTTGCTACAAAGTTCTTGCAATCAAAAACTCTGAGAAAACAGAACTCTTGCATTTGATATTTACATTTTTTTGAGATTAAAGTATATGTTATGCACAATGTTTGCTTCCATTATGTTCTGTGCAACTTTAAAGGGTAAAGATAAAAAAGGAATAACATCATACACCGTTAAAAGTATTTTAGCATTCATGCTCCAATTTACAACTTATTTATCACAATGAAAAGCAAATACTACTCAACAAAGAAGCCGCCTCACCTCTCCTCCCTCTACGTGAAATATTCTAATGTTCATAAGTGCTGCAGCAGTTGCAAGAGCCAGCGCGTCAAAACGATCACCGTGGATAATCAAAATGTCAGGGTGCAGCCTCTGAAGGACGTCAGGGAGTTTCACCAGTGCCAGCCCAACGCTTTCCACCATGGCTGCCTCATCCTCTCCTCTCACTATGGTGTGCAGCTTGGAGCCAATATCAAAATCATCCTGCTCGATCATACGAAACGTGTTCCTGCACAGCAGGCAAAAAAACAATACAAGGACAAATTAAAAGAATGCTGATCAAATCCCAACTAAAAACCTATGGCAGATTACAAACTGTTGTGTTGTAATGCAAGCGCATTAAGATTTATACACTACTTCACTGTTAGGACATGTGGCACAAGCTTATTTTAGGAGGGTGCTATAATGTCAGCTGGTCTTACCCATAGTCATCAATGAGATGTGAGCCAAGCACCACAACTTCTAGCTCAAAGTCATCAGGGTGAGATTTGATCCCACACATGATGGGGGCAAGCTTGGAGTAGTCCGCTCTGTTGCATGTTGCCACACACACTCTCAGCCTTTTCTTACACTACAGCAGGGGAGGTGTAACCACATACATCATTTGTAATTTTAATTTAGTACACACAACACATAGAAACAGGCGGCATTATGTTATTATATTTTATCTCCACATGATCTTCCACCTAAAATTCAGAAATTGCCATCAAATGTGCATTTCTGCTTTTCATAAATAACAGAGCCATCATCTTATCAGTAAACTCTCATTTTCAAATGTAAACAAAGCCGTACCTGGTTCTGCTCTGCCATCTTTTCTTTGCTCCTTTGCATTCGGAGATAGTAAAGCTCCTAGAAAACAAAGATAAGAGGGTAAGATCCAGAAAAAAGTCTGTAATGCATAATATTATCCATGATTTTCAATACAAACCCAGCTACAGGTAATACTCACTTGGGCCTTCCAAATATTCAGATACTGAAGCATGAAAACACAACAAAACTGCACTAAAAATGTTTTGTATTTTACATAATAAACATGTTCACAAGTGGTTGTTTTTTTCCCAGAAGTGAGAAACATGCTTTGAATGACAAGGCAAAGGTCAGTCACACCTGATATACTCTGGCCACATGACAGGAAGAACTGGTTAGAATGGAAGGTACAATACTACACAACTACTTTACTTTTAATTATGAGAGACGGTGCACACCGATAAATACTACTACATTTATTTATTTATTTGTAGAACCTGGACAGATGTTATTGTACAAATATTTGCCCCAAAAAGGATAAAAAGTTGCAGTAGTGATGAAAAATAAGCAGCACTAAGTGTGTCACTGTCAGTTCTGTCATGTGAAACAAATTTGACAAAATGTAAATCAGAATAAATTAACTACTGCTTACTACAGTGACCGGCCACTTTATTAGGTACACCTGTACAATTGTATGCACTTCAATTCAACACTTCTGCCTTAACTTCTGTGTTTACAGCACTCAACTTGTTCTAGTTTTTGGTGAAATTGTCATAAATGTGTAAATTCAATTATACTGTATGCTTATTATTGGAGGTCATAGTTAAAGGTGGTGTTGTACTGGACTACATTAACACCACACATACAATGCATACAGCTGTACCTAATAAAGTGGCCAGTCAGTGTATGTTCATTTAAAAATATACAGAATATTAAGATTTAGTGTTGTTTGGGACTATTTTGGCATGTGGACCATTAGGATGCCTGGCTAGTCTCCTTTAGTCATTTGATTTTTGTCCTGTGGGGACATTTACAAAATTGGTACACTGGAAGTGACTGGCTTACATGCTAAGTGTAAGGTCTGTCCAGTCGTAAGCTCAGTGGCCTAAATGAGTAAACAGGCCATCAGCGGTAAAGTGAAAAGTAAACAAAAGCTTGTTTTGTTGCTGCTGTTTACTGGCTGATGAGATGCATACAGGCAGGATTATGTCCATCACACTTAGGTGAATGCAGCTGAGCATTCAAAGTCTAGTTCTTAAATATAAGACAACACCAGTTTTCAGGTGTCAAAAAGAGAAAACATGCTATATGTTTTGCCAATGTAGTAAATCACAGAAACCACAAATTCCAGAGTAGATCAAGTGCTTGGAATTTAATAAAAGAAAACGTCAACCTCTTTGCACTTCTGGGAATACCTAGGAGGGACCAACGACATCAGAATGAACAAAGAAAGATTTTAAATACATAAATAAATAATAGGGTTCCCACTATGGCACAAATGTTAACTCCCATCATGTTTTTCATGGCATGATGCAACACTTACCTCAGGCCGTGCTACCTGTAATACTGTATTTAAAATGCTATTATAAAAGCCTTGGCAGGTACCTTCTTGTTTCCAGAGGCTTGCTATTATATATTCTAATTATTTATTTTGAGTGGTGTCATTACTATACGAATTTGTGGTACATGTCGAATTATTAGCCAGAATTATCAAACAGTCCCACCAGCTACAAAATGCCAAGAGGCTGATTTCTATACACAGAGGAAAAAAACTCAATCGAGGAGTGTAAGATGATAAACTTTCATCCCTCTTTACCCTAATACCTTATCACAGAAAAGAAAAAAATCATCAAGTATGGAAATAAAAACACATACTGTTAAAGGACTGTGCAATGTTAGCTGTACTATGGCTGTATACATAAAACATCAACACGACAATTTCATTTTAAACATAATGTCGTTTACTGTCTTATCTGTATTAGCCTAAAAAAAAAAAAACTGATTAAATATTGCTCAAGTCAAAAGTTCTTGACTTGAGCAATAACACTAAGATTGTAATTTACTGGATGTGACGTGTAACCAGTCTATTCAAACTAGTTGTACCAGATCCGCCATGATTCCACTGAGAGAAGGTGACGCACTAAAAACCACAATATTACCCAGGTTTAATTTGTGTTACTCAGAGTACATTTGACACGCAGACTTCTTGACGTAAATGCAATTTTACATGTTGGCTCCAGGCCACAGAACTTTTTGATTGCAATTATTTTTTATCTTCATAACAACCAGTTGCAAAACAGATGCTTGTCATTTTTTCCACTGACTGTACTGTAATCCGCAGAGAACAATGAATGTTGCTAAAATGATTGATGGCCCTACATTGCACAATTAAAGGATAACATTGGTTTGAACCTGCTCTATTTCCCCTAAAAGTGGGTATTGTGACTCTTTAGCTAGTGATAATTTTGCTATCACTACCGCTGTTCTACAGATTGGATCATAGTCTGTTTTTTTGTCCTTATTAAATGTCCTTAAACTGCAAGTTTTATTAAAAATGAGCATTATTTCTATCCACCACCTATTTAATTTGGTTTCGTTCTTCTCAGAAGTTATGAAAGAAGGCGACATGCTGGGAAAAGCCAATTTATTTGTCCAAAGATCTTGCTCAGTTATTTTCTCAGTGGTTCAACTTTTCATCGAGAAGTGAGTGTTCTTCAGCAAATAGTGGCATAATGTTTGGAGAGCCCAAACAAAAAAGTGGCATGGAAGGAGCCAGGAATTTCAATTTGAACAGCATTGTTAATGTCTTTGCTGAGCACAAAGCCTGTAGGATGAACTTCTGAGTACAGGCTTCTCTTTGTTATGTGGTGGGATCAGGTATTTAAATGTGAAGCATGTTAGAAAATGTGCATCTACTGTAATCCATGCTTGGGATAACATGTTGCCTGCTCGTGCCATTATGTATGTTGAATTCTATTCTCACACTGTGTAGATCCATAATGAGTTGCTGTGCTTTTCTTGATAGCCATTTGTTCTATGCTTATCGGCATACAGTGTAAGCTACATTTGTGTGGATTTGTTAGTTTAGACTGGCTGAATATTTCAGATGTACAGTATGTTAGTTGGAGAAATGGCTCAAGTCCAGGGGAGCCTGTTCATTAGCATAGATTAGCTGCTGTCTGTGGTGCTGATCAAAGGCTGGTTTTCAGGATGGGATTTGCATGGTAAGCCTCTCTACAACTGTCTGCTATGCAATTGTATGGAGAGAGAGAGAGAGAGAGAGAGAGAGCGAGAGAGAGAGAGAGCGAGAGAGAGAGAGTGTGTGTGTGTGTGTGTGTGTGTGTGTGTGTGTGTGTGTGTGTGCGCACATGTATTTGGGACAACAGTGGGGCACGAAAAAAAATTTGCAATGGGGCCCAATACAGTTATGTTATGCTACTGGTTTGAGGCTACACAATTGTAAGAAAATAATTGTAAGAACTGGCATGGCATGGTATTTTATTTTGTCTGTATGAATATTTGTTTATTCAAAGTAAAAAATAAAATGGAAAACTGCAGTTACTTAGTAGATAAACCCAACCACTGAAGCAATATATGACACTGACGCTCATGCAACTGACCATTGCTAAGTCTCACTTTATACAGTACTTATGCAAAACTATGTGTATTTATGACATAATAAGCATTTGCCTACCTGTACACCCAGATCTGGTGTGCCAATTCTGGGAACAGCTGTAGTTTTTGAGGAAAAAATGTTTGGGACCTTTGGCTATATCTTGTGTTTGCTTTTCTTCTGAATCAGAGATAAGCATAAAAAATCATTTCACTGAAATCATGTTTATTCAATCATGAGTACTCTGAGTCTAATCAATCAATTTAGCTTTTCAGATTATAACCTTTATTTAAGTGGCATGTTGATAATATAACAAGATTTATGGTCACAGTTCTTGCAAAATGCTAACGCAGTAAAAACATCGTTTATATCTGCATTCTAACAAATTTTGTCTCTTCAGCCTATGCTAAGAAAAACAGGGTGTCCTTGGTTGAGGCTGAGACACAACAAAAGGAAGTAGTTTAGGTACATGATATCTCCTTGTCCAAACATATGTCAGTCAGCCAAAGCTACGCACTCTAATCTATCTCCAAAGACTTTTTTTCTTCTGTTAAATAGTTAAAAAGATGACAATACATTTAAATTGCCTTTGGATTTTGACTGTAAACAGAGATAAGATCTCTCACTCATTCACTTTCAAGAAAGTTTAGCTTACACAATTTTGTGACAGCCTTCTCTTCATCCACTGAGGCAGCTTGTTACCCACTATTATTCTAGCTTTACTTCTTTTAAATAATTACATTTGTTAATCATGTTTGCTAAAAGCAATTTTTGGTAGCTTAATCTTCCTAATCATCACCAAGTGAATGCCAACTTATCTGAGTTTATAACATCTGTGTGATATGGTCAAAGTAACACTAAGACTCATCCCTTGTGGTTGTACCTTTCTTCAACTCTCACATAACAGGTTGCACACGCAACTTTTGGACTACATTCTGTGAAGCATCTTGGAACTCATTCAGCACACAGCGACTGCTACTTAAGTGTTGCAAGACAGCATCAGCAACCAGCGTAAAGGTATGGGGGCAGGGATTGTGAGTACGTGTTCCTTAACAGGATACATGAAGAAAGCACGAGTGGCACATTAAAAGAGGGAAAAATACTGAACATACCATAAAATCAGAGGTGATGTGACAGTGAAAAAGAAACAAAGGATAAGTCAATAAAGATATGAGAGAGTGGGTAAGAGAAGACATGCAGTCTGACTCACATGAGGGTTTATGCACAAAAAACCCAGATGCGCTTCCATCCTACACTTCTGTTGATTCTCAGCTAGAAAAAACAAATAAATAAGAAAAACAAAACAAAAAACAGCCGCTACTCTTTTCTTGTCCTTCAAACGGAGAAGAAAGGAAGGGAGACCGGTGTAGTGACACAGAAATAAAGCCGGGGGAGGAGCTCTGTGAGACGGAGGAGGGGTGATTTTTTTGCATGATTGTCTGAGTGGAGGAAAGAAGGAATATGTGCCATCCTGCCACACATACAAAGACAGATCATTTCAGTAGCTTACGTTCTTATTAGATATAATATATTTCTGACTGGCTTCCTGTGAAATGACAAAAAGATTACAACAGAACCATTATTATGCTTTAGATGGATCTGCAGAGATTCAGA